GGGGGGGGGGGGGGGGGGGGGGGGGTCTCGGAGTTGGTGCATCAGTTCGAGTGACTAGATCGCACCTCGAGGGGGTTGAAAAAGCCTCCAAACCACGATTGATGTGGAGCTTATGAACAGCATCACCTAGCTGAGGAAGAGCAGTTAGCATGAGCAAGCCCTATTGACGTCTCCAGTGCTGTGATAGGACGATTCGGGTGCATAGGGGTGGGGGCCTCCCTGTGAGTGCAGCCCACGTCAGCCGCCCCAAGACTAAATGCAGTATCATGACATAGCGCACATGAGCCAACAACAACTTGAAAGAACAGAAAGAAGTCATCACGGCCTGTTGTGACAATGAATCACATATTAGTTGACCTTTTTAATACTTCTGGACAATAAAGATGATGATATTAGTTTCATTGCATAGAATAAGTGGATAAGGAGCAAAACTACAATCGGACTTTGAACAGGCTGTTTCACAAACACATTTCACATGGAAAATTTGTAGCATACAGGTTTTTTTGTATTGTTGATTTGGGTGACTGTTGTATGGAGCACTACTAAAATATATTCACCATCACCAACTATTAAACTTTACTACTTACTAGTCTAACTATTTCTGTTTAAAGCAAGAATTAATTGGTACTTAATGCACTTAAAATTAGTTTTATAATTGCACCAATTAGTTTATACAAGATAGAGTAAGAAACAGACTATATTAAATTGGCTAAAAAGTGTAATACCCAAGATTATGTTACCGATTGCAATTTTCATATGTGCAGTTTATAATCAGTTTTAGACAACACAGTAATACCCACAGCCATATCATTTCAGTCATTAATTGCTGTTGTTCTATATCTCAAAGTCATTTAAAAAATCATTTGAGTCTGATTTTATTCATTTTTTTTTTAAATTCTTTTCTCACGTAATGTAACTAAACCACGCAGACAGAATGAGTGAAACATCAAGTAAAGTCATAATTAAATGATCACAAAGCTTTCCGTGGGAGTATTAGCTACCTGCAACATAATAGATCTGTTGGGAACAAGTTTTATTATTTATGCCTCAAGAGATCCTGAAAACGCACAGAAATCAGATGCATTATTACAGACCCAGGAGCCAAAGCAACTCTTTCATTTCTTTTTACCCATATCCTCTTACTGATTTCATTGAAACTTTATTCAAATATGTCACTTCTGTAAAATTGGCCTACAGATTCTTCATTTCCTGTTCCAAACGATATTGACACGGATACATTTTACTTACATTTTCTTTATCTGAGTGGAATTTAAGACGCAGATGGATGAAAATAAAGTGATAGGCCTACCTGTGCAAAATGAGCATGCTATTCTGCAAGATAAAAGTGACGTGACATGTGGCCAAGTATGGTGACCCATACTCAGAATTAGTGCTCTGCATTTAACCCATCCAAAGTGCACACACACAGCAGTGAACACACACACACCGTGAACACACACCCGGAGCAGTGGGCAGCCATTTATGCTGCGGCGCCCGGGGAGCAGTTGGGGGTTCGGTGCCTTGCTCAAGGGCACCTCAGTCGTGGTATTGAAGGTGGGAGAGAGCGCTGTACATTCACTCCCCCCACCTACAATCCCTGCTGGTACGAGACTCGAACCCACAACCTTTGGAATACGACTCTCTAACCATTAGGCCACGACTTCCCCATGGGCAGCCCACAACAGGCCGTGATATTTCATTTACATTTTTCAAAGTCAGTTTTCATTTATCCAGGCTTCTCGCCACTATGAATCTTGTATCTTGTTGAACTGGATGACTGAGTAGAGTTTTGGAGAATAGACGCAAACGAAGTTGCCTTCGTCAGAGGTGGTAACCATGACAACAGTGTGTCGCGCAAGACCGTTTAGGTCCATCTTAATAGTCCATCTACTCTATCATGGCAAGTAGTCTACTACTGTCAATATGTGTCACTTTATTCTTTTTCCATAAAACATTAATACTTTGTTTTACAAGTCAAAATTTGATGTTTAGCCAATGTAATGCCAAAACTGCGCCTCGAATATTGCTTTTAGGCTACTTACATTTGAAAATTTAGCAGACTCCTAAAATTGCTTTAAATAAGCCGAAATTCCCTTTAAATGGTCGATTCACTTAAGGTCATTGTATAATTCCCACAATGAGTTTAATATATTATGGAACAGGTTTAACAGTTATACAAAGGTAATTTCAGAGAGAGAGAGAGAGAGAGAGACCATCCTAGGAGATAATCTGAGTTAATAAGGGGTCAAGTAGTTCTGAGATGGGATGCAAGAATTACATTTGCTCGATTAATCGTTTCTGAGTTTTGATTAGCCGCTGCAATCAATGTAATCTTGCATGGAGCGTCATCTACTGTTTTTGATGTAAACTGAAGGCCACTCGAACTTCATTCCTTTCATCAGAAACTGAACTTGATGGAAATTCTACTTGACAGACACTTGTTGCTATCTGTTCATAAACAATGGGGGTTATTAATAATAAGCAACTTCCATAGGAAAATCATGTACATAAATAAGCTTTACGAATGTTATTGATGTTCATTTTAAATTACGTCTCTGATTCAGGTAACTGATCTGCAGCTGAACAACAGCAATGATCTTCATGAAACTAATGAAACTATAGGGATGTCTCGTGAGTCGTATTACGAATGTGTTTATGATTGAGGATGGAAGTGGTGCTGGGGGCAGAGCTCCTGTCATTTCCACCGCCCGTCTCGTGTTTACGCAAGGCGCAGCACCGTATATAAAGCGCTTGCGGTGCGGGCAGGACAGAGCAGATCCGTGAGTGGACAACTTCTTATTTCTGAAAGACCACGCAAAGACTCGGGAGACGCAAAGAAGAACATTGAAACTTCAAGAAACTTCAAGGTTCCAGTCCAGAGAAATAACTGTACCTGAACTCTTAGGCTGCGCTGAAAGTAAGTTTGTCTTGTGCTTATATCATTCTGCATGTGGAGGTGCCAAATCAAAACTTGCGTTTAACATTTGAAAGATGCTAGATTTGGCATTAAGTAGAAATTCTAGGAATTATTGTTTTCATTCCTGTTAAATTCTGCTAAGTTTTTTTTTATGTCGGATACAAAAGATGTTTTCAGTGTCATTTTTATTAGTACTAGCACATTCAGCACCATGGACAGCAATCACTTTGACGCTCAACGATTAACTGAGTTCATACTACTTTTAATTAGCTGCTAGGAAAAACATGTTTGATTGTCTAGATTAACATAAAAAATAAATAGTAGATTTTATTTTTATTCATGCAATTATTCCATTTATACAATGATTCCATTTCACAAAGAAGTTTTCATGATATGCTTTTAAACATACACAAACTAAAGTGATTTGTTTCTTAATGCATGTGTTTTTGCTTCTGATTTTCGATTGATTTGAATAATAGCTCTGACAAGTCATTCCGAATTTCAAAGAGATTTTTTTTAATTGTTGTTGAAAATGAAGTTTTTGCCGTCGTATATTGACTGCAGAGCTACTAACTCGCAAGACTATTACAAAACTGTATCTTACGCAACAACTACACTTTTCCACCTGTTGTTGCTCTCGTACTTTCCCGATCTATTCAGACGTCTTATAAAACGCAGCTTCTTGTAAAGTAACCACAGTGAGTCAAAATGTGCACTTGTTTGTGGAAGGAAAAAACGCGAGTTTTATTTTTTCAGATGGTTGTCATGCTGAAACCCTGGACCGTCATCGCTACTCTCCTCTTCTGCGTGCTCCTGTGTATCGGGACATTTGTGGACGCCTATCCGCCTAAACCAGAGAATCCCGGAGATGATGCTCCTCCGGAGGAACTCGCTAAATATTACACCGCGCTGAGACACTACATCAACCTCATCACGAGACAACGGTGAGAAAGGCAACTGTAGCTATGCATGTTTGCTTAAAATGTTCTTATCACCCCACCCATCGGACATCGACCAGGTGACCATGATAAAAAATGATTTCCCGTTGGTGTTGTAAAAATGTGCACTTGTTTGTGGAAGGAAAAAACGCGAGTTTTATTTTTTCAGATGGTTGTCATGCTGAAACCCTGGACCGTCATCGCTACTCTCCTCTTCTGCGTGCTCCTGTGTATCGGGACATTTGTGGACGCCTATCCGCCTAAACCAGAGAATCCCGGAGATGATGCTCCTCCGGAGGAACTCGCTAAATATTACACCGCGCTGAGACACTACATCAACCTCATCACGAGACAACGGTGAGAAAGGCACCTGTAGCTATGCATGTTTGCTTAAAATGTTCTTATCACCCCACCCTTCGGACATCGACCAGGTGACCATGATAAAAAATGATTTCCCGTTGGTGTCGTTGCATCATCTCCCATTAATATGTCAGGAAAAAATGACCAAGTTCTGCAGTAGGATTGTGAAATTGCATTATGGTCCACTTTTCAGTGGCCAAAGGCTCTTCGTATAACAAATCTGAGTGATAAAACCCAAACAGATGCACCTCGGAGAAGCCTCAGAGATTGAATAGGCTACTCATCCGTCATAGACTGATGTTTCTCTCATCCCTGCTTTATAGAGGACTACATTTATTTACATATTTATAGTCTTCTAACAGGCCTTTGACATTTAGGACTCAGAAAATGAGTGACACATTCCAATAAAAAAATTACAGTAAATAATTTATTTCCCCACAATATACTTTAATTCCAGTTTATTCCAAGAGAGGATTTCAGCCTCATCCCTTTCCAATGTCTTGCTAGTCCATCAAATAACCTAAAGTCTTGCCTGTAAGAGGTTTAATTGGAAATATATGATGAATTTCTAAGAGAAACCAACAGACATGATGGTTCAAGTAGCTAAACTATGTGTGCGTCACAGTCGTGACTGCATTAAATGAATCCTGGCCTCTTCACAAAGTATTGCTGACGTTTATAATGGGGAGCAGGTGAGATTCTGTAGAGCTCATGTCTCAGAAATAGCTTTAACATTAGTTTGGTCTGGTCTCAGACTCACTGATATTGCTCGTAAGCATCTATCGAGGAGGAATCTGAGCATGAAATTGCTTTGCTTATTCGAGTGCCAAACCGTTGCCCTTATCTTGTTTTCAGCGTAGGCCTATTCATCTTGAAGATGCCGTTCTGAGAGAAAAGAACTAGTCAAGTATTATTGTCTCAGCTCCATAATAAAACAATTTCTTCATTTCCACTAAATGTTCTCTAGAACTGACAGTCATGTTTTGTCTGAAGATATAGAGGCTTTGTACCTTTCATCTGTGTGATCAATGTCAGAGTCTTCTCGGTGACGAGCCTCAAGCACGTTCAGCTGTCAAGTGGTCAAAAAACATTTAACTGCTAAATTAGATTCATAACGGCTTGGGTGAAAAGACAGTTTGTATTTGTATCAGTGATTGATGTCTGACAGATAAAGTGGGCTGACTAGTTCTTTTCACTTCCCGACACTTTCACACACCACAATGAGCTCACTGTGTGAGCAATTTGAGATCATTATTTCAGTACCAAAATGTTCCCAGCTAAGCTACACGGCTGGAATAAAGTAATGAGAGAATAAATTGTCACATTTCTTACATACAGGTATGGAAAAAGGTCCACTTCGGAGGATATGATGGCTGAGTTGCTGTTCGGAGATGACACAGAGCACAAACAGAGATCAAGGTGGGAGTCTTTCTTTTAACCGTATAGCTGCAATTTTAATGTTAAATGCTAAGAGAGTTGTCGTGCAACAGTAAGATTGACAAAAATAAGTTTCCTGATTTAAATGGTATTCTAAAGGTATTTGGGGTAAATGCAGTTTTTAAAATTCTTGCGAAACACACTTATGAAGAGTGATGGGTTGAGTGTTAATAGGAAGGAGGAACAACTCATGAATTTTTCACACCTGTTGAGGAATCAGGGGACAGATGGGATCCCTGGCTTCTTTTCTCTCTGTCCGTCAGGAAGGGAGTGGGTTAGGGAACATGACGCACACTGAATATTTGAAAGGCCTTGACATTTAACAGCCCTGATTAGGTCTCAAAAAGGAAGAAATCGCACTGTGCTTACTAATTGAAAACTGTAAATCACTGACAGAAATTGGAGCATCAATGAAAATACTGAAGGTTAAATAGTATCAGTGAAACACACTGATATGCCTTACTGATGTCAGAAAAACTAGCCATGTTGATTGCGTATTAATTACATTTATCTCTTTCAGATATGATGACTCTTATATGTGGTGAAGTTCAGTGACCCCTGTGTCGCCTGTCCTGAGCTAAGTCCACCTGTGCCTCCCACAGAAAACCTCCAGTCACCATCAGACAACCTCATCCACATCTTTATTGAATACATCCTCTCTTTTTCTTTCATGCGCACAGAACAAATATCATTAACAACTGTACATAATATATTATAATAGGAACTAACAATGGAAATGTATATGTGTATACTTCATTGTGTCATACAGAAATTAGGAGTTTTTGTTTGTACCATGTAAATTATTCTATGTGATTAAAAGTTTATTGGATGAATCTGGATATTTATTTTGCTCTAGTGGTTTTTGAGCAAGCTGTACCATATGCCATAAAGAAAAAGAACAAGTCGTTTTAAAATAATAATAATAATAACATAGTTTGATCGGTCATAGTACATTTCCAAATGACCAGCAGATGTCCCTGCTGTAATATAAAATATATCTCTGTTAGATCCCACAAGGCAATAGTATAACATGTACTTAATACTTTAATTTTATTCATTTCTGTGACCAAAAGTCAGAGCTAACGTCTCATTCTACAAAACAGCAACTGCTCATTAATTTTTTAACAGCACAATTTATATGAATAACAGTTAACACATAACACTTAGGGTCACCATATTATTAGCTAATATTTATTTTATGCTGTGAGGGTCTGTTTATCTATTTATATAACACGCTGTTGAACCTGCTACTGCATGTTACTGAACTGATTGGCACTGTTATGTAAATTAGTGGAGAACATTTAAAGTGGGCTGTCGAGAACATTCTATTGTTGACACGGCCCTATAGCCAAACACCGGCTGGTGGGTCCCACCTACTGAGACATTTGAGCGTTGCCCCTTTATGTCTACGCAATGGCTAGACTCTGATTTGATGCTTTATAGCGGTTCAGACACCTCTCACATAATTAAAACAACGTTACTAAGCGTCTACGATACGCGAAAGGTTAGTATCTTTTTTTACGATTCACATATTTCCAGTGTTATGTATTTGTGTGTGTTGACGCATCCCGAAACGTGTGTTCCATTCAGGAATGCGAACCATATCATCGTTTCATCTTCTGTGATATAGTATATAGTGTTGTCGTCTTATTGTTATTATGCGGTTAGGAATGAAGTCAAATTATGAATTCATCCGTTGTTTAATGCATCTGAAGGTTATTGCTGTTCTTCATCAGCATGATTTTCTTTCATTCATCATAGTTAATTTCAGATGAGAATGATCATTTAATTTGGTGTGAAATTAAGGCTGCATCAGATATATTTGGCATCAACTCCGTCCATATTGTTGGTGGTGAGTGAAATATTTCTCACTATCATCAGCAAATTCATTGTAATATTAAGACTAAAGTTTACAGTTAAAGAGAACCAGTGATGTACTTATTTCCATATGAATCGAGCCTATATTTGGGATGTAACAATTAAGGTAAAAAAAAACAGTAGCTGAAACAATAATATAAAGATTAGGAGACATTATTATACAGCAGTTAGTTCTGGTCCTCTAATCTGATTGGTCAGTTGCAAGAGGTCTGATATTTATTGTAACAGCTCTGGGACGGGACGCTTTACTAACTTTGCCCAAAATCACCTTTATCTCTATGGGGTTAAAAATCATAGTGTTTTGTCTAATGCACTCATTTAATAACAAAAACACAAAGAATTCAAATACATTAACCGACAGTTGATAGCTGGTGGTGCTTTTGTTTTGTGTTTGGTGAGTGCACTACAGACACATTCTTGATACCATTACAGTAGCAAATGCTGTCAAAACCAGGTGATTAAAAGCGAAGAATAATCTGGCATAGCCTCAGCATCTCGTTATGGTTACTTAAAGGGGACGCAGGCCTATTTGTGTGTGTTGGCGACAGATGGGCCATGCCTTTTTCTGGCTCGAGGGAGCAGATGGAGAGCATGGCTGCTTGGGATGTGGGCTGGGTCAGACTGGGGTGTCATTAGTACTGGGGCTCAGCAGGGTCTGTAGGAAGAATGGGAATGGAAGAGGTGGGGGGCTCAGGAGTTGCCAAGCCATGATAAATTCACTAGCCCTCCCTTTTGTAAAAGGCTGGAGGAAGACCCCCCTCACGCTTTCTCTCAGGGAATCTCACTTAGATGCTGAGTTTGCATTCATACCTGGCCAAAAAGCACTGGAGCGAGCCTGTTGGTAATGAGATTGGAATGTGAGCTTGAGCATCTCTCATGTTTGGCTGACAGCTCTCAAAGCCAAATGAGATCAAGAATTAGAAAAGCCTTCAGCTAGAGCCAGTCTGAGAGTGTTTTAGACAGTTTGGGAGTGTTTGGAGAAAGTGCCAGAAAGAATGGGTTGAATATGACACCAATATGAAATAATATTTTTTTATAATTTATAAATTCCATATATTATTGCTAATATAATAAAATGATATTTTAACAAATTATTTAAATATCTATTTTATATATATATATATATATATATATATATATATATATATATATATATATATATATATATATACTATATATTTTATATT